TTAAAAAAAAAAAAAAATATTTTTTTTATGGTTTTTTAACCACCATATTTTTAAATTTTTTTTTATAAAAATTTCGTTTTTCATCCCTCATCCTTTCCTTCTTCTCCCGTATTTTATTTAAAAAAAAGTTGAAGAGAACCCAGAAAAAAAAAATCAAATTCTATAATGATAATGAAATGTTATAACATTTCAATTTTTTCTTTTTCTTTAGGCGGCTCCCTCGGTCTCCTATGTGACATTTCGTAAGTTTTAGATAAAAATTTTTTTTCTTTAATTTATTTTAACAAACAGTTCATTTCTTTTCAGGTAGTTTTTCGGGTTTCTTTGGACGCGTGGGATTTCATTTTTGGTAAGTTTTTTCTCTGTTTTAGTTTATTTATTCTAACGAAACGTACTGTACATTAACTTCAATTTTATCTTTTTTTTTAGATGGGCTGGACACATGGGAAAGAAAATTAGGGTATATGATTTTGAATTTAATTCTTTTGTTTTAGGTGACTTTTCTAGATGGGGGATGAGATTTCAATGGGAGGTTTTTTTTTAAATGATTTTGTTTTTCTTTTTTTTTTTAGATATCGATGAGATACCTTTTCTAAGCTTAGGGATTCGTAGGGTATCGTGAGAGTTGAATTAAACCAAAGTCCCTGTTGATTAGATTAAAGATGAGTACCCTCCATACGATACTTTTGTACTATTGAAGACTGAATTCAATAATCTATCTTTCGATATTTCAAGTATGACTTGGGTGATAGTTAGACATTGGACGCGTAAATTCTTGGTGAAAAATCAGTTAATTTGTTTCTCTTAACGAAATGTTTTCTAATGGTTTGTTTCCTTTTTTTAGATAGTAGCCATTTCTTCGGATTACTTTAAACATGTGAGAATTTGGTGAGTAGGTTTTCTTTGAGCTAACTATTTTAACGAAACATTCATTAGCATTGCAACTTTTTTCTTTAGACGTGTAGGACAGATAAGTTTCGAAAAAAAAAATTTTTGAACCTTTAAAAAAAATGGATTTTGTCTTTTTTCGTAAGATTGGACACAGAAGAATCGGGAAGTTTCAAAATTATTTCCAGATGCAGACCTTAAAAACATTTTATTAACGTTTTTTTCCTATTATATAGGTTCTGGCTCATATGTTTAGTGTTTCAAAATTTTTAAACTTTCTTTTTTGTATATTCAGGCAAACTAGGTCATCGGAAAAGACAGAGTAAGTTTCAACATAAACTTTACTTTTTTTGATTTCTTAAAAAAGAAAACGTATTGTTGACGTTCCTCTATTTTCTTTTTGTAGGATTCAAGTCCTGATTACTGGAAGATTGAGTTCATTATGAAACTTAGTAAGGATTCGTTAAAATACCTTCTGAAGTTCAAAGAAATCAAATAAAACTAATACCTCCTTTATGGGAATATGGGGATCCAATAATTAATTGTTATTATAGGAAATGTCCACTACTTATCATTATTAAAAAAAGGAGAACGGCTACTTCCTTGATAATCATTTCACCAATGACTAGGGCCTTGTAATACAATGTCAGAAATCACTTTGTTTCGCAAAAAATTAATAGAATGAGAAGCGAAAATCTTAAAACTTCACGATAGAATTATAAAGGATAAATGTGAGTTTCAAAATAATTTCGAAACTAAATTTAAAAAGATGTTTTAATAACATTTTTGTTCATCTTTTCATAAGACACAAGCCCGCCTTTATTACCGGAACCCCAGAGGTGTGTTTCAGAATACTTTCAAAGACTTTTTTTTTAAAAAGCATTTTAATAAGTAATAACCTTTATTTTTTTTAAAAAAAAAAATTTTGAAAAAAATGTTTTTAATAGAGTTAAGAGGACATTTAACGTTATATGAAATTTATATCTATGTTTATTGAACAATTTATTTTTATTTATAGATTAGAATAATTCGTATGATTAGATTTAGGATAGAACAATTTAATATTTCTAAAATAAAGTTTATTATAGTACATCAATTTTAAAATAAATAAACTATAACTTTACTTCAACTTTAATATTTGTTTACTATAACTTAAACATGCATTTAATATAATTTAAATATACATTTACTATATGTTTTCGATTTCAATACTATTTTTGCACGAGCCGGTTAAATCAGGTGACGATTTCCTTAATATGCATCAACTTTATACATACGATCCGCGTAAACTTATAATCAAGATTTGGTCACGATATGGTATTAAATCTTTACGATAAGTTCTATGATAAAGTTTTGATATAGTTACGATGTGGTTTCGATTTTAAAAGTTTCTGCAAAGATTCTATATTTCTTTATACTGCTAAATTTTCAGGAAGTTCCAATCTTCAATAAATCACCGCACGACTTATATTATAAATTTAAAGCTTGCTGCCACTTTATAAGTCAATTTGTTATCATATTTTTTAAAATTTTTTAAGCTTGCTTTATTTAAATATCAATAAATTTATTCTCCATATATAATTTATATAATGTTCAACTAAATTAATATACAGTATATATAACTAATATTACTAAAAAAGAAAAAGTGTAAATATTGGATTCTAATAAGTTTTGAAAAATACCGAGATTCAAATATCAAAATCAATTTCTTGTGTAATATAACCTATATTTGTAATTTAAAAAAATTAGGTTATTAAGAACATAGCTTTTAAAAATATAATATTTTTTACTTACTTTCGTCAATGATACATTGTTCAGATTTTCTGTCTTCAGAATTTATATCTATATCCAATTCAAATTCTTGCGTAGTATAATCTAAATAAATGAAAAACGAAAATAAATTAAATTAAACATAAATTATATTTATTGAAAAATATATAAAATATTTTACCATTATTTTCATTTTTGATTAATTTAATCTTTTTAATAATTTTGTCTGGAAATATTTTATTAATTAGTAAATATCATTGAATGACGTTTAAATATAAAATTTTGACTTTTATCATACCTTCATTAAAACTGTTTTCAATTTGATTATCGTCAAACTTTCTTTTATCTTAAACAATAAACTTATTAATATTAGTACTTAAAATTATATTAGTTATTAATAACCTTAAATAAATAATTACCGTTAAAAGATATATCGTTTTTTTGATGACAATGAAATAGATCTAAATAGTAATGAAGTAGTAGCATATTATTATTATTTTTTAATTAAATTAAAATATTTAATACTATATTTACCAACTCCTGCAATTATAGACTCGCTTCTTAAACTTCTTATAGACTAAAGATGTTAGCCGTAATTGATTGGCCGATGCCGTAATATTACAGCATACAGCATTACAGTTACAACACTTTTCGTAATACTGTAATTAGGCCGTAATGCTGTAATTGGGTTGTAATGCTGTAATTAGGTCGCAATGCTATAATTAGGCTGTAATGTCGTAATTTTTAATGGTATAAAAATTTAAAATAAAAGTAATGAATTATAAAAGTAAATTACAATAGTTTATATGTCGTGTAATTTTAATTTTAGGGGGTACATAAGACGCGTCGCGTTTTTTTTGTATTTTGTATACGCGTTCAGGATGGGTGGTCGGGGGTGGAAGGTGGGAAATATTAAGTTTTTTTCAAAAAATTTATATTAAATTAGCATAATATCTTTAATAATTAGATGATTTTATGCATAATTTACATATAAACTTTTTTACAAAAAAAAAA